TTGCCATAACTAACCAGCGTATTTTGAAGTTTGTCGCACGAAAGGAGCGAGAACGGACGCTTATCGAGAAAGTACTGCCTGGTGGCTTGGTGGATATAAACCTTGCAGGAATATAATTTCCTCATTCATTTCTGATATTTTCAGCCAAAACTGGGGATGAATTTAGATAGAAAGTCCACTCGACTGTAATACTGCAGTGTGAACTGGAAATCCTGGATCGTTGGTCTTCCTAAGACGAATTTCCATACCTTGATTCGTATTAGGCTGAGGCTCAACTTACCTTGTCTTTCATACCAACCGGAATAAACCATTTAAATTCCTAAATTTCCAGGACGGACACAAGCCTGACTTCCCCAAGGCCTCTGTTCCACTTCTCCACCCTCGCATTCTATCAGTCTACAGCTTGAAAAATCTTTTTAATACTTCTTTCAAGAAAATTCATCTGCTACAATTACTGATATTAGAAATTTCTTTCAAATGTTACAAACATCACACTTGATTCAGATTTTTAGCGTCATTTCAGTGTATAGGTACAGCATTTTATGCAGCAAAGCATTTCCTCCTATTCAATAGAAACATGAAATTCTCATAATTATACAATGCACTCTTAGCACCCATCCACTTTGTGCTGACGCATTACTTAACTATTTATCGACATTCTGATGTTTTGCCTTTCATGTTTGCAGTCAATCCGCAATCCAAACATTTAGTCCAAGTATTGTGATCGATAGACAAAGGGGTCCCAAAAAGTGTCCACTTAATTGTTAATAACTCCTTCATTTCCGGATTTCTTCTAGGCCCTAACAATTCATTTTAAGGGACCAGCTTGAACTTAGATTTACAATTATGTCTGACACTGTGGGATCTGCAATCAAAAATCTTCTTTAGGCTAATGCCAGAAGTGTAATTAGCGTTAAGAATTTTTAGAAGAGAAAATCTATGTTCGAGCTAGCTCTTCAGATAACTCTTTGATAGAAAAGATTTCAAACAGGAATTTGACAAAACAGACCCATTTTTTGGCACGCCCTTTCCA